AGCTTATCTGTAAAATGGGTAATAATGTCTACTTTGAGGGTCTCTTCAGTACAAATGTGGCACTGAGCTCACACGAGCATGTAACAAAGACGTGACAGCCATCGTCCAGTTCATGTCCTTTTCCTCAAACTCTGTGTCAGTTAGGGTCTTTTGGTTGCAGGTGACAGAAAGTGACAGGCTGTCAGCTCTCATAACAGAAGTCATAGGATTACGGGTCCAGTGGCACTAACGATGTCACCCAGGATCCAGGTTTCTCAGGCTCGCCCTGCTTCATGCTGCCTCATCCTCAGGCTCCGGGCTCTCGAGTTGTGCTGGTGAGATGTTGCCACTGTGCCAGACCCCACATCCTCACATGACACAGTCCAGAGACAGTGGGAGACTCTCTTTCTTAGCTTTTAAGGAAAACAAGAGGGTCCTGGTGAGCCCTCTTCAGGCCATTGGCTTTGATTGGGTCATGTATCCACGCCCAAACCAGTTACTGTCGGAGGTGGGGCATGCAGGTGGTGAGCCAATCAGGGCCTGCCCTGGGAACTTGCAGTGTCTAAGTCCCACCCCTCTCCTAACCACACGCTGAGACTGGGAGTGTGGGCGAAGGGGAAATGGGTGCAGGGAGGACGCTGAGGAGCGTCCCACAGACTCAGGTGACGTGGTTTGGGGATGCTCAGTGTCAGAGACTGGCTGCTTCGTTGGGGTCCTGAGGATGGGGGCACAAGATCACTAAGAGCCCAGCCTGGGAGCCAGACAGCAAGTCAACAAATAGAATTCCTGCCATTGGCTCTGTGAACTTGGCAAGTCTCCTGACCTTGGACCTCAGGACTCTGGCTGGGGAAATATAACAGTCTAGAAAGTGTTGGCCCCAGAATATATTCCACATTGTCCATCTGTTCTGGAATGTTGTCTCTGCTAGTGGAGACTGTTTTCTAGGAACATTCTCCATGTGATGGGGTGTAAGCCCCCTGCTCACTGACTGGGATAAGTGGGGCATTGGTGCTTTTCTAGGTTGAGAATTTGGGGTTCCAGAGATGTCTTGCTTGAGACGCTGCTGCTTTTTGCTGGGGAGCTAGTGTCATGTGGTGGGGGGGGGCTTCACTTCTGGGCTCCAGAGCAAAGCAAGAAGTGTGCGGCTGGGATGCTGAGGGGGACAAACTGGAACCCTACCTGTGAACTTGCAACTCTCCCTAACTGGCACCACTGATTCCCTTTGCTTTATTTTTTTCTCCTAGCAGTAATCACTTTCTGATCTGTTAAAGTGTTGACTTACTTATTATGTGTTTGGCTACCTCCCTCTCTAGAAGGGAAGCTCTGAGGGCAGGGACTCTGATGTGTTTTATGCACCGAGTTTCCCCGCACCCATTGATGGTGCTCGGCTCAGAATTTGTTGAATTAATGAAAGCACGTTTGAGTGGTTTAAATTAATGAACTCTTTTCATGTAATTCTTATTGCTTCTGGATTGACATCTGCAGTGGCAACAATGTTTTCTGCATCGTCAAGGATTCTTCCCTGCAGCGAGGTGGGGCTCTGAGGATTTGGCCAAGGCTGGGAGCTGCTGATGGATCATCACTAGGGGGAGCAGCGGGCGTGTTCTGCAGCTGCTTCGGGAGAGAAAGCACCAGGCGCGCCCATGGCTGGAGATCCAGGAGACTGTCCAGGGACAGGCTGGGGATGTGGAGGGAACGAGAGCATCCTTTTTTCTTCCAAAGAAAGGCTGCTCAAAGAACTTGTCAGAACTGTAGGACTTGGTTTGAAAAGCTTGCAGTCTGGATTTGGAGGGTACTATCTCCCTCCTTCTATAATCTCAATTATATTTTATCAGTTTTGAATGCTCTGCTGTTTAAATAAGATAGCCTTCTGTTAACCAGGAGCTAAAATATATTAATGGTGGCAATTAACATTGATCACATGCTTATAATATGCCAGGCTCTGTGCTAAGTTCTTTCTGTGGTTGATCTAAATCTCTCCACAATTGGACAGACAGGGTAGGTTCTAGAGTGCTCTCAGTGTCCCCACTTTACAGAGGCTGAGGCTAAGTCACAGAGGTGACTGCCCACGGTCACACAGCCAGTGGGGGCTGGGACGTGAGCTTGCTTCTCTCTGCAGCTGGAGCCAGGCTCTAACCAGTGCTCTGCTGTGGTGGTCTGCTGAATTCAAGGTGTGTGATTCAGAAGTGAGAGTTTCAGATTACAATCAACTTTAGTTTATGACACTCTGGGAGTGTGCTGAGTGAGAAGGACATTTGTATTAGTTTCCTGGGGCTGCCTTAACAGATGACCACAAACTTGGTGGCTTAAAACAGCAGAAATTATTCTCTTACAGTTCTGGAAGCTGGAAGTCCAAAATCAAGGTGTGGGCAGGGCCGTCCCCCTCTGAAGGCTCTTGGGAGGATCCTTCCTTGCTCTGCCAGCTTCTGGTGGCCCCAGGCGTCCCGTGGCTTGTGGCTGCATCGCTCCAATCTCTTTCCCCCTCTTCACGTGGCCTCTTCCTCTGTTTCTCCTCTTCTGTCTATGTCTTCTCTTCTTATAAGGATACTTGTCATTGGATTTAGGACCCACCCCGTTAATCCAGGATTATCTCCTCATTTTACAATCTTTAACTTAATTACATCTGTGAAGACCGTTTTCCCAAATAAGGTCACATTCACAGGTCTCTGGAGTTCTGATGGGGACATATCTTTTTAGGGACCACAGTTCAAACCACTACAGTATTCATTCGTTTCCTCAATATTTGAATACCTAAAGGAGGCAAAAGTCTAGGAAGGACAGGAACTACTGTTTATTGACACCTACTGTGTGCCATGCAAGAATTATAATTAGAGCTAACGTTTATTAAATGCCTGCTGTGTGCCAGGCACTTTCCATGTGTTAATGCATTTAATCCTCACAATATCCCTGGTAGTTATGTACTACTATTAATTTCCCCATTTCACGGATGAGAACACCGAGGCATGGGCAGAAATCGGGAAACTTGAGCAAGGTGATGGAGCCAGTAAGTGGTGGGGTCAGGGATGGAACCAGCGGTCTGGGCCCAGAAGCCTTGCTCCTCAGCCTGCCTGCTCTGCTGTCCCATTCAGTCCTCACAGCTCCCCTTTTGGGTGGACATTCCTACATCCTCATTTTATGCGTGAGGAACCTGAGGCGTAGAGAGGTTTCGTGACTTGCCAGAGGTCACACGGCTCGCTGGTGGGAGTTTAGTCTCCAGTCCATAACTTCTTACTCCTCACACGGTGCTTTTTCCTCTGTGCCAAGTTGCTTTATATCAGATGGCTCTAGCTCTTCCATTGGGTAGTCAAGGTTGTGTCTGTGTTGCATTGCCTTACATACTGGCCTGCTGACAGTGGGCACACACACGTATGTTGACCAAATAATGCCACAGATATTACATCAATAGACTACCCATAGGGGATTTTGTTGAAACCATCCTTGCTAAAGCAGTAGTGTTCTTTTCAGAACTTTTTGTGAGTACCTTATCTCAAATAGAATTTATTCCTAAATCCCATGATGATAAAGTAATCACTGTAGCTGAAACGATTGTGATTTTTGTCAATTAATGAAACTCTAGTGCTTGAGAAGTTTTCTCTTCAAAGGCCTGTATTAGTTTGCTAGGGCTGCTGTAACAAAGTACCATAAACTGGGGGACTTAACACGACAGAAATTTATTCACTCACAGTTTTGGAGGCCAGAAATCTGAAATCAAGGTGTCGCAGGACCTTGCTCTCTCTGAAGGCTCTAGGGGAGGATCCTTCCTTGCTTCTTCCCGCTTCTGGTGGCTACTGGCAGTCCTTGATGTTCCTTGGCCTGTGGCTGCATAACTCCCATCTCTGCCCCCATCTTCACATGGCCTTCTCCCTGTGTGTCTGTCTCTCTTCTCCTCTTAGAAGGTCACCAGTCATAAGGGCCCACCCTACGCCAGTTTGACCTCATCTTAATTAATTATACCTGTGACAACAACCCTATTTCCAATGAGGTCACATTCTCAGGTTCTAGGAAGGACATGGATTTGGAAGGGGGGGGTGGGCGACGCTATTCAACCAGTCCAGTGCCCTGATGGGGCAGTTTCCCAACTGTTGGCTTTGTATCCAGAAACAGTTGAGGTGTATGGCCTGGGGCCAAAGCCTCCTCTTCCGCAAGCTTCTTTCTGCTTGGTTTGCGCTAGGGAATGCTGGGCGAGCCTGGGCTGGAGTGAGCTGGGGCTTACGCTGAGGTTCGCACATGGAGAGGCTGAGGTCCCTTGGAGATCTCAGCAAAGATGTCAAGCAGCCAGTTAGTTCTGTGATTGTGGGGCTCCGAAAGAAGTCAGGGCTGGAGGAATACGTTGAAGTGTTAGCTGCATATGGGGGTGTTAATGTCGTAGGTGAGGACGCAGCTGGAGGGGGGGGATACAGACGGGAAGAGGCCAGGCCTTGGGAACTCCAGACTTTCATGGCAGCCAGGGCAAAGCAAGTCTGTAAGGAAGATAGAAACTGAGACGTCATTGAGGAGGGCGGGAGGGGCGGCAGTATCAGATGCTGGTGAGAGGGATGGTGGGTCTGGGGGCCGGGAGAGCATTGGGGACCTTAGCAAGAGCTGTTTTGGTGGAGGGGTGGGGGCTGAGACCAGATAGGAGAGGCCTGAGGAGTGAGTGGGGGGCAAGGAGATCAGCCAACTCGGGAAGAAGCTTAGCTGCAGGGTTGGGGGTGGCTGGAGGGGCTGTAGGGTCAGGATTTTATTTTATTTCATTAAAGGGAGAGAAACATCAGCATAAATAAATTTCAATGGTAAATGTCTGGTTGACTCTATAGGTCCTTGAACCCATAGCTCTCCACTCCTCTGTGCTCAGGGGCACTGACAGGGGAGCAGGGCCTGGGCTGGGGCTGCTCTCTCTGTGTCCCGAGTTCACCCGCCGAGTTCAGCTGACCCGGGGCTGTGGAAGTGCTTAACCTTTCCCTGGGCCTCAGGCCAGCAAGGGAGAGATTTTCCTGGTCATGAGCCCCTGCGATTAATTGCTTATTCTTTCTCATTTTCAGATGGATGAGATCAAAGGGAAAGATCGTGTGATTCTAGCCTTGGAGAAGGAACTTGGCGTGCAGACTGGTCAGACCCAGAAGCTGCTGCTTCAGAAAGAGGCTCTGGATGAGCAGCTGGTCCAGGTCAAAGAGGCTGAGCGGTACCACAGCAGTCCAAAGAGGGAGCTCCCACCTGGGATAGGGGACATGGCGGAGCTCATGGGTATCCAGGTGAGGGGGACAGTGGCTCAAGCAAGCACTGGGGCCTCAGAGCTGACCACCCGCCCGTCCTTCCTTCTACTGGTCCTTCTTCCAGACAGCTTGCCTGCCTTCCCGCCTTCCCTGCCCCGCCCTCCCACCTTCCTTCCATTCATCTGGCCGTCCGTCCTTCCTGCCCTTATCCCTTCCTCCCCAAATTTGCTGACGTTCACTGTGTGCTAGGCACTGGGAATATAGAGGTGAACAGCTGGCTGCTTTTGCCTCCAGTGGTCTTGGAGCTCAGTTGAAAAGGAAGAAATGAAGACATCGCTGCAGAGGATACAGTAAGAGCACAGAAAAGGACCCAGTGGAGACAGGCCCTGACTTACAGTCAGAGTCCTGCAAGATGAGTAGGAGCTTAGCCAGCAGACGGGGCATTTGGGGCAATGGTTTGGTACTTAGCAGGTACCAAGCAGCATTCATTCATTCATTCATTCATTCACTAAATGTTTGAGTGTCTATCATGTGTGCTGTGTGCACACACCAGATGAGGTGCTGCCCTTTCAGTGGTGAGTGAGGTGGACACAGTGCTTGCCCTTGAGGAGCGTCCTGGTACATCTGTGATGGGCCTTCGTAAGAGATGCACAGTGGGCAGGGGCTTGAATGTGAAGGTCCCCAGAGACCACTTTCAGATGTTTGGGAGCCATTGGAGGGTTTGAAGTCACGTCACCTTTGAGATGACTGGCCAGGCGTGGGGTGCTGTCTGTGTTGCTTGACTTCAGGGAGCCCCAGCATGGCGTATGGTCTTCCTGATGAGGAGCTCACCTGTTATGGCCTGTGAATTTCCTAAGAAGGGTCTGTGGAGTGCTTTGAGTCATTTAAGCTGCTTCAAAGTACATTTGTGTCTTGACTCTTTTTTAGGATCAGCATATGGACGAGCGAGATGTGCGGCGATTTCAACTAAAAATTGCTGAACTGAATTCGGTGATACGGAAGCTGGAAGACAGAAATACCCTCTTGGCAGATGAGAGGAATGAACTGGTTGGTAATCAGCCCCCTAGAGACAGATGGTGCCTAGTAGGATGCAAGGAAGTGGCCCTGGGGCCGCAAAACATGCCTTAAACATAAAGTTAATGCAGAGACCTTCTGGTTTTCTCTGCTTTCTTTCTAATTTCTTTCTGATTAAAAATCTAACATACTAATTGAAGAAACCTGTTACTGCCCTTTGTTTCTGCAGGAATTTATCCTGAGCAAACGGTTGAAGTTCAGTGAGAAGTATGGAGAGGATGTTCATTGCAGTGTTGTGTATAATAGCAACCAAAAACAAAACAAAACAAAAACCCAGTTGTTCAACACTCAAGTACTAGGCAAAATAATTATGGAACGTATATGCAATGAACTGCAGGCTGTCATTAAGAATGTTGATATAGATCATATTCAATTGCCGTGGAAATTTGTTCACAGTAAATTAAATGGTAAAAGCAGTTTACAGAAGAAAAATACATTGTCATCCCGGATATGAGAAGTTGTTTTAGGTGGTGTGACTATGGATAATTTGTATTTTTTGCTTATCTCTTTACTTTCTTTTGCATAAAAGTTTACCTATTTCTAATTTAAAAAATAATGAACATGGACTTCTGGTTAAAAAATAAATCTAGTAAAAATAGCAATTCTTTGACTATGTTTAAATTTGCTGGGTAAACAGTTAAACTAATTTTTATGTAGTGGTAGTCAATACAGAAACTTCTTGACAAATGCATCATAATATTTCTATTTATTCTAAATTTTATTATGAAAGTAAGCATATCTATATAATATTGAAAAACATGGGACATGAAAAGTATTAATAAGTGCCATCTCGTCACAATTTTAACAGGATCAAAATAAATTCATTTCCTTCCAGTATTTTTAAAGGCATCTTTTTATATAGCTTTCGTCAGCCTGTACATCTGATATTATGTCTCCACTTTTCACTTAAGTATTCACGAGCTAAAAAATCCCTCCTGAGCTGCATAATAGTTTACTTGGTGGATTAGAAAAAAATACAGGCTGCCTGAAACAATTCATGCTACACTGCAGTGTGTAAAGTAAAAATTAAGATGCTGCACTTCCCTCTCAAAATCATGAGGTGTAACTTCTGTCAACAGCTTGAGGTGCTGCTTCCATGTTTTTAAGGCTTCTTTAAACATACTGACCCCCACCGAGAGGCTTTGTCGTTTTGTTTTGTGGTTACAGAATGGGCCCCCCCCCCACGTCTTGTTCTGCTGCTTGATTAATCGAGGACAGCACTGCCCATCAGTGCACGGAGATGTCCCTGTGTCTTTTTCATGGCTGCATCATACTCTGCTGTGTGGACATACCATGGTCTATTCTGTCACTCCTCTACTGGGGGATACTTAGGCTGTTTCACGTTTCTTTGCTGTCACAAACGATGCCACATAAAAGATACATTTCTGTCTTTACTCACTTTATTTCTGTGGGGTAGATTTCCAGAAGTAGGATGTATGGGTCAAAGGTACATTTTATATTTTAATGACTACTGTCAGAGTGTTTTGTCTTTACTTTCTCAGCCTGGTGACTAAAAGCAAGGGTCTGGGTCAGTCCCCTGTGTTTGACTCTTGGTTCTAGCACTTTCTGTGTGGCCATGAGCATATCACCCCACCTCTCTGTGGTCAGGTTCTTTGTCTATGACATGGGGTTGGGGATGGGGATGGGGATGGGGTTGGGGCCCCCTTCTAGGGTTGTGGTGAGGGTTGGATGAGAGAGAATATCTGGAAGGGCTTAACACCATTTTGGACACATGGTGAGTACTTGATACCTGCAGTGGCTATTCCTGTCGTTTTCGTGACAGTGATGGATATTTAAATTGTTTATAATTCTCGTCCATTAAAATAACCCTGTGAAGATTATCACTGCGCATTTAATTCTCACAACAAGTCTAGAGGCAGATGCTACCATATTCCCATCTCATAGATGAGGAAACTGAGGCTAAGAACTCGGCCGTGGTCAAACAGCTAGAAAGTGAATGTGTCACTGAGGACACTGTACTCAGAAGGAAAAAGAGTGGGTGCCTCTAATTGTGCAGCCTCTGCGGTCCCTGCTCCCTGTCCCCCTACTGCTGTCATTTCTCACTGTCCCCCACACAGCAGTCAGAGTGATAGATTGTTCTAGAAGGCTGACCTGACTGCAGAGTGCTCCTGCTTCAAAGCCCTCAGGGGCTGAGGGTGGAAGTGAAATGACAGAGCTCTCCGGCTCCCTCAGTCAGGCCTCCCGATGCCTGCCCCTTCTCTGCCCATCACCCCACACCCTGTGTTCTCACTGGCCTGAGGGAGGCTGCATGAACACACCATGTTCTTGCCTGTTCTGAGCCTCGGGACGTGTAGTTCCCCTGCCTGGAGTGTCCACTGCACTCGTCTCACCGTGTTCTCACCTCCGTCACTGTCTTTTCCCTCCTCCCCGTCTGTTGGCTGGGCACCCCGTCCTGTCATCCCTTAGACCCAACCCCCAGCACAGGACACAGGTGCCAGATAGACTCCCCAGATGCTGATCACACGGAGAGACTGGAAGGACACCCCGCACAGTAGGAACTGTGCTCAGAGGACTTGGGGAGCACCTCCAGGGCTGGATGCTGCCATATTTGTCTGCATACCCCCAGCACTGAGCCTGGCATGTGTGGGGCCCAGGGGTTATCTGTTGTCTGAAGAGTGTTGAGCTCTCTGCTCACCTGTACTTGGGGAGGAATGCTGGCCAGGAGGGGCTAGGTAGTTGGATTGACCTTAATGCATGTGACTCATGACCTCTAGGGGTTATGCCAGAGGTAAAGGAAACGTGGACTAGTGGACACAGCACAGGCTACTTGCCAGTGGGGTGACCTAAGGCAAATCTGTGGGCCTCCCGCATTGGGCTGCAGCCCCCTCCTGTCGCCTTAGCCAGGGCCCTCTGAGGCTCAGGTGGGATCCGCATTTGGAAGCCAGGTGTCTGTGGGCTCTTCTTGGTGCGCGCACTGCCCAGGAAACGTGGTCCATTAGGAGCTCCGGTCCCAAGGAGGGCCCAGGTTGGATCTCTGCTGGCCTCCGGGGTGTGACGTCAGCCATCCACTGGGTCTTATAGCCGCCTGACCTTCTGTCTTTCCAACCGTAGCTCAAACGCTCCCGTGAGACGGAGGTCCAGCTAAAGCCCCTTGTGGAGAAGAACAAGCGAATGAACAAGAAGAATGAGGATTTGCTGCAGAGCATCCAGAGGATGGAGGAGAAAATCAAGAACCTCACGAGGGAGAACGTGGAAATGGTAAGTCATCGGCCACTTGGGACCAGCCCCCGAATTCTCATCAGTGTCTGGGATTCTCCAGCCCCTGACCCTCACGGTGCGCACTCCTCAGGGGCCCCCTCCCACCACCTCCACCTGGAAGCCTCACGAGCAGTATCAGGCTACACTCACCTCTCCTGCTCTCCACTTCTCCAGAATTTACAGTGCTGCGGGTGCCTGTGCCTGGAGGGAGACACCCCAACTCTGCTCTCTGCTACCCTGTGTCCTTAGACATCTCTCGTTCTCTCTGTGCCTCAGTTTCTTCATCCACAAAATGGGAATGAAAATATCAATGTTGCAGGGTTATTAAGAGGATGGAATGATGGCATAGAAAGGCCTCACAGAACACCTGGCTCATTATGGAAGCTTAGTATACGAAAGCAATTAGGACTTTTGCTCTAAGTGCTTTGCATAAGGGATTTTTATTTGCTCCAACAAGAATGATTGGTCTTTGTGGTCAGGGTGGTGTCTTGTAGCTGATGGTTTATAGAATACTCTTAGATTCATTGTCCAAAGGAGTGTAAGTCACCCCCATTTGACAGCTGAGAAGACTGAGGCTCTGAGTGGTGGAACCCCTTCTCCCGGTACCCTAACAGGTCCAGGGGTGAGTGTGTGTAATCGCTGTGCCTGGTGCGCTCTCCTCCCCCAGCTTCTCGTCCAGCTTTCAGGGCTCGGTTCGGACGTCCGCCTCCCCCCGCAATGCCTGCCCAGCCCTTTCCCTCTGCAGTAGGGCCTGTCAGCCGAGCCTCAGGCTTGGTTCTGGTCTTCATCTGTCCACTCCTCCAGCTTGGAGACTAGAGGGCTGTCGTCCTTCTATCCATCCTTCCTCCCCGTATCCCTGAGCCCACACTGCGTGCCCTGACGCACACGGTGGGTCCTTCACAAACGCCGTGGGCGAGCGGCCCTGCAGTGCTCTCTCCCCCTCTGGCTGCAGAAGGAAAAGCTGTCGGCCCAGGCGTCTCTGAAGCGGCACACTTCCTTGAACGACCTCAGCCTGACGCGGGACGAGCAGGAGATCGAGTTCCTGCGGCTGCAGGTGCTGGAGCAGCAGCATGTCATCGACGATCTCTCGCTGGTACGTCTGTGCTCGGTGCCAGCCCTCGCTTGGTGTGACGCCAAGTGACAGGGGTCAGGAATGGCGTTGGGGCTTCAGGGCGACGCTGCTGAAGCCGGTGGGGCTCGCCGAGCTCATCCCGGGAGCAGTTTCCTGGCTGCTCTTTTCCTCAGATCTTCTCCCCGGTTTGCTGCCCTTGAGAAGCAGCATCAGTTTAAGAGTGAGTGTCCTGGCCTCTACAGAGTGGGCGCGATCTGTCCCTGAGAAGGCTGATTTCTATTTTAGCTTAGTTGTTACAGACCGGGAGCTTGGAAGCCTGAACCTCCTAATCAGACCAGAGTTTGAAGGACTGTGTGTATCTGTATAAGATGAAGGGGGGGGGTGAGTGTGTCTTAAGTAGGTGAAGTGTTATATCCAGAGAATTCTGCAGCTCTCTGTGGCAGGAGCTTAAGTGCCCATAGGGAGCGTCTGCAGTGGGCTTTAGACGGATCCGAGAAGTAAAATGTGTTCTGCTGTTCTGCTTACCCAAGAGGGAATGTGATGGTTTCGTTCGTGGGTCTTCACAGAGTAGAAAAGCCAGTGATCAAAGTTCTAGAAAAGTCTTTGAGCATAATTGTCAAGTTCACTTCGCTTGTGTATCTCTTTAACTCTCTCCTTCCTTCCTTCTTTAGTTCCTTCAACCCACCCACACATCCCTCCATTCTCCCTTTCGTCCCTCCATGCATCTTCCCATCCATCCATCCATCCTCCCGTCTTCCCATCCTCCCTTCCTTCCCTCCATCCTTCTTTCCGTCCAGTCCTCCATCCTTCCATGCCTCCATTTCTGCATCCCTCCCTCCCTCCATTCCTCCTTCCCATCCTCCTCCTTCCTTTTATCCCTCCTTCCATCCATTCCTCCATCCCTCCATCCCTCCTTCCCTCCTCCCCTCCTTCCTTCCACCCCTCCTTCCTTCCCCCATGCATCCATCCATTCATCTTTGCTTCATTACACAAGACTTAACACAACATAAGATGAAAAAATACATTCAATAAAATGATGATAAAATTGAAAGAGGAATAATAAACAGATAAGACTAGAGAAAATAAAGATAGCAGCATCAGTCAAGATCAGGAGGGGCAGATGGGTAGGCCATAAGGGCTAAGCACCTGATTTGTCTCTGGCAGCCGAAGGGGAAAGGCAGCCTTGATTAGGAAGGAGAGAATTGATGGATTTTGTGTGGGGCGGAATGCTGCTACTCCTGCTACTGTTCTGCAGGTGCCAATTTTACCGACAAAAGGTACCCACAGTCTCTTGTTTCCTTCTTAAGACAACACTGCAGGGCAGGTTCTAGCCCCATATAGCAAAGGAAGAAGCTGAGAATCAGAGAAATAAAGCCTGTCCCCTGGCCCGGAGGAGACCCCACGGGGATTCGGCCCCAGCTCTGTGTGAGCGCAAAGCTGCAGCTTCCTCCCTCTCTGCTGCGGTCTCTGGTGGAGCAGCCGTCTAGTCCACACTGCCTCATGCTTTACAGCTTCCAGCCCCCGAGCAGACAGGCTGGAGTTTTCTGGCTCTGGCAAATTTTGGCATTTCTTTCTGGGACAATCTAAGTCCAGTTAAGGACTTGGTAAATGGTGTCACTCTGTAGCTCTCCATTCTGAGAAGCAGCCATCGCTTGGCTGCTGAGAACCTGGTCTGACCCACGCCCGGTGCAGGCAGACAGGCAGCACTGTAGGTCGCATCCTTTGGGATCCGGTTTGGTTGGTGTGATGTGAGGCTGGTTGAAAATGCCAACAGCTGTGTTTCCTTCTAGGAGAGAGAACGGCTCTTGCGCTCCAAAAGACAACGCGGGAAAAGCCTGAAGCCACCCAAGGTGAGCCTGTGGTGGTGCTTTGTCGCTGAGCCGAGACCTGCAGGGCAGATGGGCCAGGGAGAGAGGGGCGAGCAATCCATAGAGGGGCCGTAAAGGCAGAGACACTCACATCTCTGCCTGTTTGATGGTGAAACAGTTATTGCTGTCTCTCAAAGCAACATGAGTTATAGCCATGGACCTGGGTACTGTAATTGATTCATGGAAAGCTTACGGATGAATGCTATATTAGGTCTCAGGGGCTGCTCACCCAAAATTAAAGACATAAATACTTAGACCTTCTGAAGGATTTAAAAGACACTCAGGCTTGGTTTACATCATCTTATATCCTATTCTGAAGAATCAGGAGCTTTGCGCTTTTTTGGAATGATGCAGAACTGTGTTCTTTTTGGAAGATGTGGTTTTACAGTGACAGTGTCCAAATGTCCTGGCAGAGAGAGCAGAGCTGTGTGCAGAAAACACAGACGCCCACAGGGACTGAGCTGGAATGTAAAAGAGTAAATTGGGACAGATATAAAAAAAAGACATAGTTTGCATTTAAATCCATAGATGGTTTATCTTTTGATAGAGATACAGTTATAGAGAAATATTTCTCTTCTCTAAAGAAAACAGCAGTGCAGCTGTGATGCTGAATGGCCTCACATATATGGCTTTAGTGTCAGAGTGGCTGTAGGGAGTGATGGGGACTGTGGCAAACTGGGCCTCCATTGCTATAATGAAGTGAGCCAGGTGGTGTCAGATATTCCAGTCTTTCAAAAGAAATGGGGATCCTTATGCATTATTTCCTAGGGCTTCCATAACAAAGTACCACAAACTGGCTGGCTTAGAACAGCAGAAATTTATTGTCTCTATTTCGGAGTCTATAAACCTAAAATCAAGCTGTGGCAGGGCTGTGCTCCCTCTGTAGGGGAGTCCTTGCCTCTTCCTAGCTTTGGGTGATTTGCTGGCAGTCTTTGGCTTTCCTTGGCTTGCAGCTGCATCACTCCAACCTCCCCTTTCATCGTCTCATGCCATTCTCCCTGTGTGCCTGTGTCTTCACATGGCCGCCGTCTTATGAGGACACCAAGCCTATTGGATCAGGGGTCCACCCGACTCCAGTGTGACCTCATGTTAACTAATTACTTCAGCAATGACCGTACTTGCAAGTAAGGTCACGTTCTGAGGGACTGGGACCTCAACATATCTTTCTTGGGAGACCCAAATCAACTCATAAGACCTTACTTTATGTAAAATCTGAGGATTTTAAATGTTGATGCAAATGTTTATAATACACACTGTGGGCCAGATAAAGTGTATCTAGTGCCACAGTCAGGGTAACGTCATCCAGTCTGTGCTCGTCGATGGTTTGCTGTGTCCCGGACACTTGGATGAGTGGTTCTTCACACCATCTCATTTAATCCTCACAGCAGCCCTGCGAGGTTGGGGTTAAGTTTTCCATTTTACAGTTTCAGGAAGCGTATAGATATTAAATACAGAAATAAAGAGACAAAGTAAATTGACAAGACTGAAAATCAAACTCAAGTCTGGGGCTCTGAGGCCCAAGCTGTGGCATCAAGTCAAGTTGGATGAGGTGCAGATCTCTACGCACTAACATTAGAAACTCAGAGATGGGAACTGGTTTATTTGTAAAGACATATTTTTATTGTGGAAGTCATACAACCGCACTGAGGACTACCTGGGAAATAAAAAGAGACACGACACCCACAGGACCTCCCCGACGCTTTTGGCGTTGGCATTTTAATGTGACCCTCCAGTCCTCACTCTGCTCTTTCTTTTGGAATGTAACTGTAACTATAGAAGGCACTTTTGCACCATTTTTTTAATTGATGTTTTAATAGTTTATAACATTGTGAAATTTTTGGTTGTACATTTTTGTTTGTCCATGACCAAATATACATGTCTCCCTTCACCCCTTGTGCCCACTCCCTACCCGCATTGCCCCTGGTAACCACAATACAGTTTTCTCTGTCCGTGTTGCACCCTGTTTTTTTACTTAACATTATACTGTAAAGCATTTATCCAGGTCATCATAAGTATAAATATTTATGGCTACATAATCCATTGAGTAGATGGGCCATCAGGTTGTTCACCATTCTGCGTCTGTCGGGCGTGTTTGCTTCCAGCCCCTCGTGGTTATGCGTAATGCCGCAATAAGTGTGTTTATGCTTACACAGACAGCCCTTTCCCGGCGAATTCTGTTTTGCTCCCTGAGTGTCGAGCATTTCCTTAAGTGACTACCCTTTCCCTATCGGTGGACTTTCTGCTTCTGTAAATGTCCCCACAACAAACTCCTTTTGTTCAGAAAGCTGTGTCCGCTGTCTGGATAGTTCCCACGGATAGATTCCCAGCAGTCGAAATGTGGCTCAGACGGTGTGAGGGCTTTGATCAAGAACACGCGCCCCACTTCCCTCCCCACCTTACAGAAGAGTTGCATCATTTCTCACAGCTGCCAGTAGTGTATGTGAACGCCATTTTCACTGTGGGACAGACGTTTAAAAAGCAACAATCTCCAGCTATTCAATGTGTCCCATTAACTGGATGTGCGGTGGCATTATACACCCCATAAAGCTTCCAAGTAGGGTTTTTGGGAAACCCAATGTGGAGTCATGACTATATTTTTCAAAACTGTATCAGAATGCTTGCAATAAGAAAAGATGATGTTTTCCCTTTTCCTATTTCTGACTGTTTATGGGAAGAGAACTTTACGAAGGCCTAGAATTGACTTACGACTTGCTAGGCTTGTGCGTCCAGCAGGCGAGCGGGCAGGGCTGTGTCCTGCTCACCGTGTCCTGTAGCTGCCTGCACAAAGCAGGTGGCTCTAAATAGCTGTTGACTGAATAAGTGAATTACCTACTGGAAAAATGAATTTGCATGACACTTCATTGTCCTGTTCTGTCACTTTAATTAAAATAGTTCAGTGCCACTCTAAGGCCAAGTATGGGAATCTCCATGGGAGTTTTTCTGAGCTGGTTCAGGGTCTTTCCCACTTACTGTTTCTGTGACCCACCAATATCTTTTATTTTTCTCAAGATTCAGCATAGATCAGTTTCCCCCCATGTTCCTATAATCCCAGTGTTGTCCGTCGCAGGATGGAATGAGTATTTGGATCCATCAGTGGCCTGAGCAGGGTTTTCGGTCCCCCAGGGCTGCCTGTCAGGCCTGGGTGTCTTCCCTTTCTTCTCCCCCACAGGCCACAGGGGTTCAGTAGTTTCTTTTTCCCCTTAAATCCCTCCGTTGCTCCCTGTCCCTTATGCATCCATGTGCTTTACCACTTTGCCCAGGTCTTTGCTCAACAGAATATAGTGGTGGATGCATTGTACGTTCCAGAATTTTCCAGAAGTCTGACAGCCCATCCCTGCTCTCCAGCCCTGACTCTCTTTTGGAAGGGCTGTTACAAGCCTCCCTGGACTGTGCCCCGGAGGGGCTCCTCCAATTCCACACCCTCCCCCCAGTTTGTGAAGATGTGGTTAGGGCAGGGCAGTAATGTCGACTCTTGTCTTCCAGGGGGGCTTCACATCCTTGAGGGATGCTGATTCTGTCTCACTGGGCTCCTGGGGACAAGACTGGTGTTGGCTGTCTCTGCCTGAGGCAGCTGCTAGTTGAGCCCCCACTGAGGGGCTGCAGGAGAAGGGCCCTGAGCAGTTGGTTCTTGGGCCATGTCTGGGGAAGGGGGCTTGTTCTGCAGAAGGTCTAGCATCAGGGCCTAACTCTAAACAGAGCCTCCACCATGGCGCTGGTGGTAAATTGAGTTGCGGCCGTTGAAAAGTACTCTCTACAAGCATAGGGTGTTGCCTTAGTAGAGAGCTGGGCAAAGGAACAATGGCTAAAATTAGTACAGTTTTCTCACGCGCCTTGGTTGAAAGTGGGGCTGGGACTCTTGGATGAGGCAGAGTGGGGGTCAGATCCAGCCGCTAGAGGTGTGGCACTGGACTCTGGGACCCTTACTTTCCTGGTTCTTACAACAGCATCACGTCCAGGAGGGTAAATTAAGCTTCTAGCTTTATGCCTGACATGTAGTTGGGGAATCAATAAATGATGGTTTCTCTTTCTCCCTTCATTTAAAGCAATACGTTTCGGTTGGAGGGCCTGTTAAATGCAGATTCCCAGGCCCTGCCCTCCCTCCATTCTAATTCATGTCCCGTGCTTTTAGAGAGAGAGTCTCAGATAACAGTGAGGTGCCATCTCGATGCCCTTTAGGGAGGACTGTCCTTTGGGAAGAATCCTGGGAGTCATCCTAGGAAACGTTAAAGCACCATTGGAAGAGCAGGCCCTTCCTCAGGCCGGTGTGGGTGCCATGGCCCCTCTTCCCCAGGGCACCCTGGGTCTGCTGCCACCAGGAGGCGGCCAATGCCTGAGGGGCTTCTGGAAGGTCACTGCTGGTCAGTGGCTCCAGAGGCATTCTGATAGGACATTAGGGCCTCTCCAAACTTGACCCTGCACCCCCAAGGCCAAGCCTGCTGCCTGGCAGAGGGCAGGACCAGGGCGCCAGCGTGCAGTACCTTTGCCTGGCTGGGACGCCCGAGCGTTGTTCATCACGTGCACACATTTTCTATTTTTAAGTAGCCAAAAGAATCTTTTTTTCCCTTTGTAGATGTTTCCACTTGACTTTGTTCCTGGACAGTCCTTGCCCACGGCTCTGTCCTCAGCCCATGAGCGTGGTGAGGGCTGGATCATGCCTCATTTGTCCGGCTATGCGCAGCTCCCAGTGCAGCGCTCCCGCCCCATGGGGCTCAAGCACATCGACTGAGTGAACTATCCGTCGCTTCACGTCTCACCTGTCTGCAGGGCTCCCTGTGGTTGGCGTGCAGCTGGGGGCTTTTGCCAGGGGTTTCTTTCCCTGAAGGGGACAAGGGCTTGTTCCCTCCGGGCTGGGCAGTGACCTTGTCACCTGTTCCCTCCTCCACAACAGCTGCCATGATTCATGTCTTACAATTTAATCAAAGAGAGAGAGGAAGCTGGTGGCAGGACCTTGGGCCCACCTGGCCAGGGGTGTGGCCGAGCCC